ATAGAATAGAATAGAATAGAATAGAATAGAATAGAATAGAATAGAATTGAAATAGGAATAGGAATAGGAATAGGAATAGGAATAAAATATAGGGAATAGGGAATAGAATAGGGAGTAGGGAATGGGGAATGGGGAATAGGATAGGATAGCATAGGATAGGATAGGATAGGATAGGATAGGATAGGATAGGGGATAGAGAATAGAATAGAATAGAATAGAATAGAATAGAATAGAATAGAATTAGAATAGAATAGAGTAGAGTAGAATAGAATTTGAATAGAATAGAATAGAATAGAATAGAATAGAATAGAATAGAATAGAATAGAATAGAATAGAATAGAATAGAATAGGAATAGGAATAGGAATAGGAATAGAATAGAACAGAACAGTATTTTATTGTCACTTTGAATATAAACCAATCGGCATACATTAAAATGAAATTTCATTGCATGCAGCTTGATGCAACGAAACGGCTTGCTAGGTTAGAAAGTTTCAAACGGCCCACTCAAAATTGTTGTTACGATCTTTGTAACTGTTAACACTGGGGGGCCTAATTATAAGCCTTATAATAATAGCACATCCAATTATAATTTAACACTCCTAAGCCGGCCAAGAAGAGGTTTTAAAAATATAAACAAAGGGATTCCAAACTGCTTAGTCCTTCTTCCGACCTTTTCGCCTCCTGAGTGGTAACACAGGAATTTACCCTTCTACACCGTGCCAGCTGAGGATTTGGGAAGTCCCAGCCTCAGTTTCCTGGATTGGGGCCCCAGGCTGAACAACAGTTGGACCGGGTCAATCTTAGCAATGGCAAACTGGCTTACTCACTAGGTCTAGAAAAAAACAAAACCATTTCTGAATAATCCTTGCACACAAACAGCTGCAGTTGCTCCACCCAGCTCCGGAAGATGAGGCTTGGTTTTTATATTCAGCTCCTATTTTGCTTTCTTTTCTGAGATATTTGGAGAGGCTCTCTGAAAGATGGTTTGCTAATGCAACACACACACACACACACACACACACACACACACACACACTTTCATTAGCGAAGGCAGCCATTTAACATCCCAACCTCACAACAGTGTCCTTAGCCAGCAAAGGGTGCCAGGTTGAAAAATGCAACGGAATTCCATTCTAATGTATGCTGATTAGCGTACAGTTAAAGTGACCATAAAGTTAGCCTAAAGTAAGTCAAAACGGGAGTTTTTCCTCCATAAACATCCCAGCTTCTCTCGCCATCCTATTAATCCATGCTTTTAATAACAACATGCAGGGGGCCCCGATTAGTAAACTACCCCCAATGGATGAGCTCTTTGTACAATGTACTTAATTTAGTTAGCCAGTTTTTCTTGGTTCCCCCAGGATGTAAATAAACAGCGGGCTGGGTTTATCCAACACACATAATGGGGGTGTCCACATGGGGAGATCAAAAAAACTCAAGATGGAAGTCACTCCTGTATAAGCAAAGCACTAGGGTTTTTTGTGTGTGTGTGCATCCTTCCTTCCCCATTTTCTGGCGGACAGTTTTTGTAACCATAGCACTGATGATGTTACCTAGTTGGGTAATGAAATGTCTGCAAGAAAACCACAAGCTCAGAGAGGAAGAAACCGCCATTCCTCCTCCTTCTCCTTCTCCTCCAACCCCACTCCCTCCTAGC